AGCGCTTGGTCACAGCCTGAGTGAAAGAGGAAGGCAAAGGAGGAGTCCGCATATCTCCTAATTGCAATCCTAGGCGTTCTTCTGTCCCTCCTGCGTCTCTCCTCTGGAGTCTTTTGTTGGTCTTCCCATTCCTCTACCAAGCGTCCTCTACGCTTGATTGCCCAGTATATGCAAAGGGTCTCGATGACACCCATTGTTGTATCCCTTTATTTTGCTAGAAGACAACTACTGTCTTTTGTTTAGGAAAAGCTCGATTTATGAGTGAGGTCGTGGTAGTTACTGTAGAAATTTCGTGTTATCGAAAATTTCATGTTTTAATTAGTACCAGCGGGCGCGTTTTTTCAGTCTTAGTCGTTTTTTCGGTCTTAGTCATTGCCGTTGGTGTGATTCCAAATTCCTTAAGAGTAGATGAGCGCCAAAAATTTAGTCCGTTGGGGGCCTGTTTTTAATGATTCCCGTTAAACTAAAAAGTCTAAAGTAGACCGTTTAGACTTTTAGACTTTCTAGATTAACGGGAATCACCCATTGCCCTTCTAAACAAAGAAAAAGATTCTCTTCGTTTCTCCTTGTTTCGCGGGGTGTACGGGAATTTGTTTTTAATCTAGGCCCTGTAAAAACTCGAAACTCAAAATTCACAACATTGAACCGATTGAGATTTCCCGAGAATCTTTGTTTTTATGTTCTCCAGTTTCTTGTGGAAGGGTCGTGGAACGTCAACAGCTTGTTTCTTTCCATTCTCCTCGAACAAACTGTAGTCGTCATCCCGTTATCCTTTCTCATTCTCGACTGCAAATCAACTCAAACTATAAGTATTACTTGCACATCCCACAATGAGTCGCTGCATATTGGCATCAAACAAGTCTCTTCGCCTTGCTCGCCATTTGGCAGCACCACTGCAATTACTCCCCGACGCCGTCGGAGCGACGGCTGGTGTGGATAGTCCGAGTACTGTGAACAGCGAGGGCAATGACCTATACAACAAGAGCTATTTCCATTTCCGTCGGCGGTTTTCCTCCGTTGTCAGGGACCAAGCCACAAGCACGGCACCAATGAAGACAGAGAATATACAGAACCAAGKGCTGGCCCGGACCGACAAAAGCATAGTCCGGCGCTTGTTCGAGAAATATTCCATGTCCAAACAGAAGGATCGAATCCTTATGGCGGAATCCCTTTTTCAAGCCGCAACTACTCAAGCAAGTGATCCGTGAGTATCGCATAATCGTTTGGTGTGGAGATGCAATCAAATTATATTTTCTCTGCTAGATTTTTCGCCACTTTCGTACATTTTTCATACAATCCTCGTTGTCTCATGCCGTCTGTTCAATGCGACCATCGATCCTCTCCGTAAACAATGCATTTTCTTCTGTTTCCAGACGCTGGTACGGCCCAGGCCGCATCGGGCGTGACTTTCGTGCCTATCAGGCTCTATTGACGATGCATATTTGGTTCCTCCACCGACGACTCGTCACGGACGAGGCAGACCCTCATACCGCTGCGCTCATCCAGGAAGAGTTGTTTGACATTCTCTGGATCGATACGTCGAACCGGATGAGGGCACACGGAGTCAATGAAATGCTCATAAACAAGAATCTCAAGAAGGTTCAGCAATATTCATTCATGCACATGTTTCACTACGATCATTGCTACACAGGAGATTTGTTGGAAAATGCCGCCGATCGGCTGGAAGCCCTGAAAATGACGGTCAAGACCCACGTTTTGTTGCTCCCGTCGCTAACGGACAAAGACGCCGCTGACGGGAGTGGTGGCGATGCAGCCGTCAACGAGGAGGCGCTCCAGAAGCATGTCGAGCACGACGATCACGCCGAGCGCATCGCATGGTATATCGAAACCCAGTTTCAGAACATTTTGCACGATCTCCCCGAGTCGTTTTTCCAAAAGGCGCGTATCGCATGGGTCGACCTGCCGTCCTTCGAACATATGGTCGACGGAAACACGGGAAAAGAACTTACAATGCAACCAATTAACCAGGACGACTTGCTCCCAACGAACTGGACCAAATCGATTGCAAACGATGGAACCTACTACTTTTGGAATATAGAAACGCGGGAGGTCCAGTGGGAGCGACCCGAATGAGTGCATCTTATTATCGTGTCTACTTTGTGTCTTGAAATAGAATGCAACACATAATTATCTGCCAATCTACTTCTTAGGGTGTATCACAACGCTTTGTCAGATGCTGTCGGCGAATACACGCTTGATGGCTTCGAAATTCTTGAGCTTGTCGGGAATGTAATGCTTTTCGAATACCAGTGGAAACGGCGTGTCGTACCCGCACACGCGCTGAATGGGAGCCTCCAGCGAGTAGAAGCATTCCTCCTGCAGCTTCGCAACGACCTCTGCCCCGAACCCGGACGATACCGGAGCCTCGTGGGAGACCACCAGCTTTCCCGTTTTTCGCACGCTGTTCGCGACGCAGTCCACGTCCCACGGAACGATGGTTTGCAGGTCAATGAGCTCACAGGAGATTCCCTCCTGTTTCTCCGCAAGATCACAGGCTTCTTCCAGTACTCGGAGGTGACCGCCCCAACCCAGAACGGTAACGTCCGTTCCCGGGCGCATGACTTCTGCCTTTCCTAGCTCAAGTTCGTAGTCGTCCACGGGTACCTCTTCCACCGATGCCCGGTAGAGGGCCTTTGGTTCGAGAAAGACAACGGGGTCCTTCGATCGAATCGATGCCAACAGCAGTCCCTAAATATGGATAGATATGCGTCAAAGTAGGGTTGGAATGGTTCTTGATTTGAAACGAGAAAGATCATGTAAAATTGGCGTTTGAATCAATTACAGTCAGCGAGGTCTCACCTTTGCAGCCCTTGGTCCTCTCGGCATGACGACAGCAATCCCTGTTGAAGCACAAAAAGAACAGGAGAGGATTTCCGTTCGAAAGAAATTCAAGGGTCGAGGATGAGGCTTTTGCAACTGACAAAACAAACTAAAGCTGATTTTGTGTCGGCGATAGCGTACCTGGAATATGGGATAAAAAAGCCTCCGGAGATTGGGAATGGTAGTGTCCGCCTTCGATGAAATCGTTTTATTGAATCATCGTGAGAAACTAACGATGAATTGTACAGGAAGTTTGAAAGTGTACAAATATAATTGAGAAACGTACCGTGACCAACAGCGCCACACGGGCTCCGCAATGTAACGCCTCCGCAGTTCCATTGATTGCCTGATCGATATCGAAATTTAGCCATTTCGTTGACAATCTTGGGGCATTCAGTTAGTTAATTCGTCATTTTTAGCAGGAACAAGTTTACCGAAATGAAAAGGTATCTATTAAGTCGCACATTTTTGTGGAAAATCCATTGGAACTGATTTCTGCGAATACTTACTTGATCGAACGCTGAATAAAAGTTAAAATTGTATTACAGTACATGAAGAACCAATTTGGTACATGAGAAACTCTCAACGCTCTGATTATCGGGGCCGCGGCGCGGTTGACTTTGCACGTACCAGGAAATATATAATCGGCAAACTGAATTTCCCCAACTGCCGTTCCACCCGACATGGTAGAGTAGCCAATAGCAAGCCCTTCAACGAGAGAGTAGGAAACAATGAGGTGCGAAGCAGCTCGTCAGCACCAAGCCATCAACAAGTAGCAGCGAAAGATCAAGGAAAAGGACGCTCACCTGCAATTCCGTTCTCGGACAAAGGCGTGTTGAAAACTCGGTCGGGCCCGAATTCGTCCTGCAGGCCTTGTGTGCACCGGAAAACACCCCCGAACGCCACATCTTTTGCGGAGAAGGGAACGAACAAAGCGAACACGTGAGCAGGCAAGATGTATATCTGGCAAACAACCAATCGATGGATAGCGACTTCTGAATTCGTCCAAGCATGTGGTCTGTCTATATTGCTCACCTTGTCCAAAGACAATGGAACTCGGATCAGTCTCCAGAGCAATGGAAAGTGCGTTGTTTATAGCTGTGAATAGATTCATGCTCTTTGTCTCCGAACCCGGTGTGGTGGTTGCTGTTGTTGTTGTCGGTGATGCACTGAGAGCTACCGTCGAAAAGGAGGCACCCGCGACAGAATTCTCGGTGGCCCCGAAACAGAAACCACTTCGCACCCGGTTCCGATGCAGGGCCGAAACAGATCGCCTGAACATCCGAGTAGCAGCGGCGGGATTTGTCGTTGAGATGGTGTTCATTGCGGTGGAGAATATGGTTTGGTGTCGCTGATCGCTATTGCTGCGAATGAGAACTGAATGAAATAGTTCGGTAGCGACAGGACCCTCGAAGGAAGGCGAAAGTCCGATGGACGATGAACAACGATGATGATACCATTCTCCTGTTCACAGAAGATTCACAGAAGAATACTTGTCATTCCTACCGCGCCGTATCAGTACCGTAGGAAATAATGGTACGAGAGAAATCCCACAGAACACGAGTTGTAAATAATGAGAATTCGCGAAGTGAGTGTCAACAACGACAGCATCCAGTCGTGGCATGTCTTCGTTACTGATCGATCGAGTCGACCATTTTCGACAATTTTTGACATCACTTCTAGGTGCGAGGAGTCGGACCCAAATCAAATACAAACACATTCACAGGTAGCTATCGAGTGAGACCAATCGGCAGCACTACTACTAGCTACACTCACTCTTTACTGTAAATACCTTATAAGATGAACTAGAGAGCCAATCAACATTTTGAAGATTACTATTTTAACAACCAAAGACTTATTCGCTTCATTACCTCATCATCACACGTAATTTTTTGAAAATAAAATTGTAGTAAAAACTACGAGGACCAGAAGTTGTTCGCCGTTGATAAGTATATTTAGAAAGTAAACCACTTGGAATTCAGGGTTTTGTCATAGTGGAAGGCATCGTGTGGTGTATTGCATACTATATTCATCACATTGTGGTTTGCATACAATTACTACAGGTCCGTACAAAATGAATTGATTGGACTGATCTGATACTGGTCTACCTGGAGAAGAAATTCATATGGTAACATATAGTTATAAAGGAAAAAGAGGAATTTACTTTAACTAACGAATTGGGTAAGAGGCCTTTGATTTGTGTGATCCCGATTCCTGATTCTTCTGCATCATAAAAATTGATTATACAGGAACTTTATTTTCCAATCTTTGTGTGAACGAAAGTAACGATTAGGGTGAAAAAAACTACGAACAAAAACATGTTGAATATCCAGAGAGGTAGCTTTCCCCAGACGAGATCATTCGCGAGGGGAGACATTTTTCGAACCAAAGACAAATCCGTGCAAACAATCCATATGGCTACTGAAGCGATGTAGATTTCGAACAACAGCCGGACCTTCTCGAGCTCGGAATGCCACGGGGTCGTGAAAGCTTGTGCCTGGTACATATCGGCTAGTGATCCAAAGTCACCTTCCTGTTCGGACGGTTCGGTGCTTCTCCCGATCGGAATCGATTGCATGGAAGTTGGCGAGCCTATCGAAGATAGGTTTGTGCCTAACGACTTGCGTGTTGCACCATAAAACGATCCCTCAGAGTATCCCGACATACTAGATCCCTGCGATCTTTCCAGATCCGATGCTGTCAACAAAGAATAGCGTTCGCTTTCCCCGTTGCTACCGCCTTGAACCAGAAGACCAGAGTTAGAAAATCTTGATAACGCGTCGATGCGTGTGTGCACGTGCTCTCTCCGAACGACAATCCAATAGAACGTGGACATGCACAACACAGCAATCCAAACCACAAAAGTGTTGAATAGGTGCACCCGTTGGAAGACTATGTTGCCCATCCAGCACCAACACAGCAGCAGCTCCAGAGCCGATGTGAGAGCGATTATAATTCCCCGTTTGATCACGACTTCTTGAACCAGGGGTTGAATGGCACCAGAGTCAAGCCTAGATTCTCTCAAGAGGGCGCAGACGGAAGGAATGAGATGGAGCAGAGTAACCTGGAGGATGGCTGCGACGAGCGCAATCAGGATTGTAATTGCCGCTCGGGCAACAAACCCACGGTCGTGAAAGGCCGTCAGGAGTTCACCACCGTACCCCATAGCTAGCAAGAAAATCCAGGCATGGCAGTTAAGATAAAGGAGATCCTGTGGGACATAGGGCATCTCCCGCACAATCCATCGGAGGGGTTGTCGGTACCGAAAGGTGGCCAAAATACGCGAGCTTACTACCACCAGCAAGCAGCTCGCCGCAACCGACGCGAGGAGTGCCTCCCAGCCTGCTCTGGCGACGTGGTGGGTGGCTTCCGTTTTCTTTTCCCTCCATTGCGTTCTCCTCTCTCGCACCAGTTTCAAGTAGTGAGTCATCTGTTCCCTGGCAATGCTTTCCTTGCGCCGGTCCTCTACCACTCGATCAAAGATGATTCTGCTGCTATTTAGATCGTCTCGGATCTCTTGCTCTTTCGTAGCGATGTCGCTTTCTTCCAGTTTGGCGTCTTCCATGTCTTTTTCGGCCTCGCTTTCCTCTTTTGCCGCGCTCGAGCGAGATTGTTTTGCTTCTTGCCATTGCTCTTGGGATTGGGTTTTGAAATCCTCGGCGTCAGCAAACATTGATGTCGAGAGATTTGCGTGGGTCGATGCTAGATTGTGGAGCTTGATGGCCTTAGCGCGCTCGATTTCGGCGTTGCGGATTTGCAGGAGGGCTTCTTGTATGTCCTTGTTGGCTTGGATAGCTTCGTCGGTGACCGTTGCCGCCGATGACCCACTGTTTATGAGATTGCACACTGCAGGCGCCCACTTACAGATTCCCGTGTCTATTTCGGTGTGGTGCTGTGCAGCATTTGCAAGCTCCAGGGTCGCCTGGGCCTTCTTCAATCGATCCTTCGCTGCATCTTCTTGTTCCAGCGTCTTGTTCATTATAGTTTCCGACAGCTCGTTCTCTCGCTCTGCCTCCCGAGCCAGGTTTTGTCCGGCAACTTTCGAATTTGCAAACGCACGGCTGTCCCGAAAACTTGCCATGCTGTGCATGGCACTCTCCCTCCCGTCGGCCCGCGCCTCCTCCTTCTTTTTCTCGGCGCTTTGTTTCAGCTTCAGGACGTCCTCCTCTTCTTCAAAGACGGCTTCGCGGAGGGAATTCACCTCGGCCGTACAATTAAAGGCCGCAATTGTATCTCGAATGCCCCTGCGGTGGAGTCGAACCGACTTTTGATACTTGGCCAACGCTTTCAGTTCGTCGAATTCCATGGTCCATTTGATCCTCGCAGCCTCTCGCAGGCCGTCTTGCATAGCTCCGAATCGACGGTAGACGTTTGCGTGCAAGGATATTGCCACCAGAAATAAAAGCGTTGCCAAGACATAGTACCAAATCAGGTTGCTATTCATTCAAATCGAGCGCGGGTCGAAAAAAAAGGTAGAACAAGAACAGATCTCACGGTCAATAAACTACATGTGAACAGTTTCTGCTCCAGTACCGAAATAGCATGGCGTTCGAAGCTTTTCGAACGAATCTCGAAGTGCACATGCGTACAGCCAACACGGATTTCAAAGCCGAACAAAGCGCGGAACCGAATTCAGCACTTACGGGGTAAATCTCGTGTTGGATATCATCATCCTGTTTTCGTAAGCACGATTCAGCTCTGCGAAGACCCGAGTCTGTAGATACTTCGATTCGATCGTTTCCTTGACTCGATCTCTTAATAGTAGACGGACCTCACTCGATCCCAACCTCAAGCGGCTTTAGTGAAGTTCTATCAGCCGAAGCCACAAAGATGTTTTTTCCCGATCTATGGAATCTATCTTTGTATTGTGGAAAAGGAATACCGCGAATAAGGACAGGAGCAATCGATTTCTACCTCCTACGATTTTGTTATTTTCCCCATTCCCGCGCAAAAACAGAATTTCCGATCACTACAATGCGATCTCTTTGACACCCTGACCGCTGAGCTCGTACTAATAAGTGCTACTACGTAGAAGTACATACGTACGTATTCATAGTGTCGTATGTTTCAATTTTCAATCAAGTTCCGTTCCTTCACCATTATATTTCTTACGTACTACCGGTACGTACGATATAATACTTGCTACTATGTTGGAATACATAATACATACTATCTCAGTAAGCTACTGTACGAGCTACGAGCCTCTTGGGAAAGAATAAAGAATAGTTCTACAGTTCTTTCGTACGTAGCACCGTACTGTACGGCAGTACGGTGTCAAATTGTACACTACAAACTACTAGTCATATATATTAAACATACATATAATATACATATAATACGATTCTAGTAAGATACATGTGCCTTGACTAATGCGAAGGGGGGGTTTGAATTCAAAAAGACATGCAGCCTCGCACTTTCTTGGAAGTTTTTCGTGCTTGTCTCCTATGTATTCTGAACGTCGATCCTTATCCATATCGTATGATGGACTAAACTCCCATACTTATTATCCGGACATTATTCTTTGTGTCCTTCTCTCTTGTGTGGTCTTCTCTGTGATACCTCAGCGAGACGGAAGAAACGGACCGCACTGCAATACCTTCCCTTAACAAATCAATAACAACCATGACCGCTGCTCGATTGCTTCTCGTGGTGTTTTCTCTGGCGGCAACGACACCAACTCCCGTCGCATCGGCCGGGAGCGGAAGCCACGACGAGGATTCTTGCCCGCTGTGGATTGCTCCCAGTTACATCACCGAGCAAGCCGCTACGATCCCGAAATTCGGCCTCTTTGCGGGTCGAAACTACGAGCAGAACTCTACCCTTCCCCTGTCCGAGCTGGCCATTCCTCTCGTCGACTTTTTTGAGGACTTTACGCGCCAGAGAGCCTACGGCGCTCAGGTCCTGGCTCTCATGGAGAACTTTATGTGGACGCAGGAAAAAATCGGCTCGATGTGGGAGGGCTACTTTAGCTCGCCGGCCGTTGTTCCCGGCGTGGGAATCCTGGCCAACTACCATTCCACCTACTCGAACGCCGATTTTCTGCATGCGTCCATGCTGCTCCGGGAGACAGGGGACGAATTCCCAAAAGCCGGCGAGGCCAGTCCGTCGCGGGGAGCTGTGACGCCGTATTTCAATGCCACCCTCAAGGCGACGCAAAACATTCCGGCGGGCATGGAAATTTTTGCGGGTAGGTCGACCCTTGCCGCAGTTTTGATTGTGCCTTCGTTGAGGCTCTGCCTCCAATTAAAAACTATTTTCATTTTTCTGTTCTTACCCGTGCTGCGCCCTTTGTCTCGACCTTGCTTTTGCAGACTACGGAGAGGTTTGGGACGGGAATTTCACGGAAAACGTATTCCAGGACAAGATCCATCGGTACGATTACCACMTCGCCGACGAAATGGTGAAGAAGCTGGTAGACCTGTACGAAAAGCATCCTGACATGAGCCTCGATATGCAGGAAGACGTGATGGATTTTCTGATCGCAAAGGTGCTGACCACCGTAGCCGGCCCGAACGCGAAGACCATCGAGTCGCTGATTCCCGCCAACCCACGCAAGCTCAAGCAGATCCAGGACATGGGGGGAACTTTTATGTATCGGTACCGCGACATGGTGCGGTCGCAGGAATGGCTCGAAACCAACGGGTTCTGCCTCGACACCATCCGGCAGGAGGTTTCGAAGATTCCGGATGCGGGCCGGGGCGCGATTGCCAACCGCGACATTAAGAAGGGAGAGACCATCACCATTACCCCGCTGCTCCACATTGCCGACAAGACCCTCCTGACGATGTATCCGGTGGACGAAGAGGAGGAAGCCTTTGACGAGGAAAATGGGCCGATCGGAAAGCAGCTGCTCCTGAACTATGCCTTTGGGCATCCCGAGAGCAACATGGTCCTGGTCCCCACGGGCCCCCTGGTCACCCTGATCAACCACGGCGGCAGCAAGGCCTCCAACGCGAAGCTCGAATGGGCGGGCGAAGGGGACGTTCTGAGCAACCCGGGAGAATTCTTCTCGTACGACGTCGACCAGATGGCCGAGGTCGAGGACACGGTACTCGTCATGAAAGTTGTCGCCAAGGCGGACATCAAGGAGGGGGAGGAAATCACGATCAACTACGGGACCTCGTGGCAAACCGAATGGGACGCGTACGAGGAGCGCTGGAAGCAAAACCGGAGGGGGAAGCCACACCCGCTCAAGGCCCTCGATCTCCGAAACTCGTACAAGAACAAGCCCCTGGAAACCGGGGAAAGCCTCGCTGCCAATCCCTACCCGGAGAACGTCGTCCCGGCGTGCTTCCTGTACGTCCGGCAGTTCCCCGACGGCCGGCAGATGGTCCACCAGGAATTCGGAACGGAAATGAACCAGTTCGAGTCTCCCACCCGTTACGAGGACTACGACACGTCCGTCCTGTACATCGTCGAGGTCCTGGACCGGCGGGAGGCACCGGGCTTTTTCTACAACTACACGGTCCGTGCCAGCCTGGGCCCGGAGACGAACGACTTTGCGGACATCCACGACGTCCCGCACGCCGCGTGCACGTTTTTCGACCGGGAGTACTCGAGCGACATCCACCTGGAGGGGGCCTTCCGGCACCCCATCGGCCTCCCGGACAACATGGTGCCCCTGGCGTGGAGGAACATTGTGCGGTAGCCACACGAACCAATGCGGTGCCATGCAATCGAATTAAAAAATAGGCTTTTAAAACTACACCGTGTCGTTCTAGATAGGAGCAGACGTCCAACCAACCGGAGCGTTGTTCGAGCCGTAGCATGGTAGCCGTCGTCCGCCTTTGTCATTGTTTCTGCTTGCTCGCCCGCAGATTCTCTCTCAGCTTCTCGATCCTCCGCAGGCCGTCCTCCTGCTGCCGGTCCTGGTGCCCCATCCAGAAGAGGGATCCGAGGACGACCGCCTCGAAGATGAGGACCACCGGAAAGGACCGGGGGGCGCTTCCGCCGCCGCCCCGGTGGTATGTTGCGGCGATCGCCGGCGCGAGGGACAGGGCCCCCCAGAGGGCCGGCCCGGCCTTTCCCGCCGGGGCCCACGAGAGCCGGACCAGGCACAGGCCGCACAGCACGGACAGGAGCTCCGTGGCCGAACCGGCCGCGGAAACACGCAGTGGTGCTCCCGGTGCGAGGGAGGCCCCCAGCTTCCGGGCCAGGAGGACCAGGACCACCAGGCCCATCCGCAGCAGCTGGTTCCTCCAGGACCGGTGGAGCTCCCCGAGGCGGCGGCCGCTCTCCGCGAGGGCGGCCTCCGCGTGGTCCAGGGCGGCCTCGATCGAGTCCGGGGCGGCCCGGGCCGGCTTGCCTCCGGGTTGGGCGTCCCGGGTCTTGCGCCGCCTGGGGGGCTCTGCCGTGGGGGAAAGCCTTCCCGCCATGTCTCGGTGTCGTGCTTTGCTTTGCGTTGTCTTGTCTTGTCTTGTCTTGACTTGCCTTGTCTTGTCTTGCCCGCGGGTGCGGTGCTCGCCTTTTGTGTTTCTAGGCCACGGTCGGTTTGTGGTACGGTTGGTTGGGTGGCGTGTTTCGTTGCGTAGTTGATGGCAACCGATGGATAAGTATGTGAATCAATTGTTTATTGTTATTCGTACCGATACTTTGTTCGAGACAACCCCGGTTTCTCTCGCGGGACGTGAATTTCGGTCTGTGGGAGTTCGTAGTACTCGTACCGGTATGAATCGTACAGGTACTACTACAGATAGGGTACGATATGCGACGACTGCCAGGTGGTGTCAGATCCAAACCTCGGATCTACAAAGTAGGAGCCAACGGAATGGAAGGGGGGACATTCCGGTTTTCCCCGAAAAGCAAGAAACCGCGGGTTCTCCTTGCTGCCGACACAAAATCGCACGGTCGACTTTCCGAAACCGCCCCCGGTCGCAAAATCTGCTTCACGAGTCCGTATCCGTATCCGTACGTATGTACCGTACCGGTGCTACATAGGATATCGTACGTACACGGCAAAGCAAAAATCAGAAACACACCAACACAAACAAAAAAACAAACCGTAGCTGCGTCTTTGGCGTTCATTGTTTTCTTGCCCTAGGGCAAATCGCTCTCGACGAACCAATCCCGGAACGAGAACAAGAACGAGCACAAAAACAAGAACAAAACGCCCGAAAATGACAAGGGACGACGCGGGTTCGGATTCCGACAGCGACAGCGGCGACTCGTCCTCTTTCGACAGCCCCCCGCCGTCGGACGAGGAAGACAACGGCGTCGACCGGAAACCGCTGGGGTACACCCCGGGGGGCGTCCGGCCCGCGGGGAGGGTTCCCACCCCGGCGACGGTGCCCCGGGGCCGCCCGACCAAGAAGGCGAGGGAGGAAGCGATCTTTCGCAACAGGATGCTCCGTCTCGAGCAAAAGAAGCAGCGGCGGGAAATCTTGAACCACAAGCGCAAGCGGGGGGACGGCTTGCTGGACGACGACGACGACGACGACAGCGATGCCGAGGGGGCGAACAAAGCGGTCGTCCCGCCGTCCTCTGCAAAGGACAAGGCCAAGGGTGCGAGCCTTGCGGCAGACACCCCCGTGCGCAGCATTACGATGCCCCTGTCCCGGGCATCCACGGGCGCTCTTTCGTCCGCGACAAAGCCGGTGGAATCGGTGGCCGGGAAGGCGAACCCGAGCGTCAACGACCCGCTTTTGGTGCTCTCCAGCGACGACGAGGACGAGGACGACGGCCACCGCATGCCTTTTGTGTCGCACGCCTCCCTCCCACCGAGGGCAAATCTTCCCCCGGCCATGGCGGCCGCCCTCCGCAAGGCCCAGGCGTCCCGGGCCCGGCTCACCCAGGCCCAGCTCTACAAGGGGGAGGACGTCTCCGTCTCGGTCGAGGCGGACCCCTCGGTCAGCGTTCCCACCCTGGCGCCCCGCAGGGCTCCCAGCGGCGGCGGGACCAGCGCGAGCGGCCCCCCGGCAAGGAGTCTGGGCAGGCCCCTCTTGCTCTCGTGCCGCTGCGCCCACCTCGTCATTGCCGGAGCGAGGGAGGCCGTCCCGAAAGGCCGGCAGACGATCGAGCTGTCGGTCCGGGAGAGGGAGCCCCTCTCGGCGCTGGCGGACCGAATCCGCGAGGCCCACTCGCTGCCCCCCGGGGAGGGAACGGTCGTGACCATGACCTTTGACGGGGAGACACTGGACCCGGGTCGGGATCCCCTGTCCTACGACCTGGAGGCCGGCTACCTCGTCGACGTCTACGCGGCGGCCCCGCGCCGGCTGGGAGCGTCCGAACAGCGCAGAAAGCCCTCCCCCGGGAGCGGTCCCTCCCTCGGCCGGGCCCTTGAGTTTACCTGCCGGATCCGCGTCCGGGAGGCGGAAGCAAACCAGCGGGGGAGGCCCCTTAAGCGGCCCCGGGCGGCACCCGAGACGCTCACCAGGACCGTGAGGGTCCGGGAGCGAGAGCCCGTCCGCAAGATCGTCGAGCGGCTCGGCCCGCTCCCAAGGTTGGCGTCCGCCGCAAGCACCACCGTGCGGTTCGACGGCTGCGTTCTCGACCCCTGCCGAACCCCTTCGTCGTACGAGATGGAGGACGGGGACATGGTGGAGGTCTGCATCGAGGCAAGGGAGGGGGAGCAGCAGCAGCCGACGCAGAAAACGCCGGCGCGGAAGCAGCAGCAGCCGCCCGCCCATCCACCGCTGGCCGGGATTTTTACGCGGCGGAGCAACACTTCCCGGGCCGCACCGAGAACCGCCGGGGGATTCGTCCTCAAGCTCGTTGTGCGGTCTGCTTCCAAAACCACCACCACCGAGCTGAGGGTCACCGACGCGGCCACCACCCTCGCGGAGCTCCTGGAGGGCTGCGGGGTCGTTCCCCCGGCCCCGAATGCGGTGGGCACCCGGCGGACCACCCGGAGCCGAAGGGCCGCCGCAACAGAAGGGAGGCCCCCGATCCGCTTCGGGGGCATGGTCCTGGACCCGACCAAAACGCCGGCCGACTACCACCTGCAGGACGGGGACACCCTCGAGGTGGGAGAGGGACCTTCCGCGGGGGCGGCGGCTTCCACCACCGCCCCCGAGGGCCAGAGCTGCGAGGGGAGCTGCAGCAGCCGGGCCATCGAGATCTGAAGACCCGGCGGCGCCGAACGGCAAGGCAAGGCAACGCAACACAACATGACGAAACAGAACAGAACAGAACAAAACGGGACCGCTCGGGGGAATCCCATCGCACGCGGCGGGTCATTGGACACCAAGGACGCCTGCGGGACAAGAGGGGCCACGGCACACACGCTATTGGATCGGGCACCGCGAGGCATCGCCGCTTCGGTTGTGCCAAAAATGCGAGACACACCGACCGTGCGACCGACAAGGGGGAAAGCGATACAACCGAACCGAACCAAAACCCACCCACGTCCATGCAAGCCATCGGTGCATCGAACAACCGCACTATACTACATTAAACTATCCTAGGACTGGCCGCAACGATGGAACAATAAAAGCCATAGTAATCGCTTTAGCAAACCATTGGTAAATTTCTCTGGGATTCYTTTTCGTTTCKATCCGGACACGAAGCGCATCGATCGGTKTGTTCGACCGGAATCCGTCTCGCCAGCGGCGGAACCACGAGACCACCGTTTTCGCCCACCTTCTTCCTCGATCGCCCCATCGGTTGCCCGCCCGCCGTTCGGACCCCGTTTCGACCGCGGCTCTCCGGTTYTCGGAAGGGCCTCGTCCTCCGTCCCCATGGGTGGCAAAGCAAAGCACGGGGCGGGAGCGAGAAACCTCGTCATTCACCGCGGAAACCAAACCGCGATCGATCGAATGTAATATTGGTGCGTGCGTGCGTTGCGTTGCGCGTTGCGTGCCAAACACCGATGCCCATCGGCCAACCACCGCGCTCGGGCGCGCTCCCTCCCCTTGCAAACCGCCGGGGTGGCCGAGGGGGGGGGAGAGCGCCGTCATTCCGGTGTCGCGGGGGGGCACGGCGATCGCTCGATGGCTCTGGTCCTTCCTTTCGTTGTGGGCAGGAAGGGGCTCTGCGGCGGAGAATTTTGCACTTTTTCGCTTGCTTCCGAGCAAAACGTGCGTCGCGTCGCGTAGCTTAGCTCGGCGGCGATGCTTGGGTTGTGTTGGGCATCGCACCACTACACCCGCGACACCACACCGCCGCCGCCGCCAGTACCCGCCATTCTTCGTTTTGTTCGTCCACTCGCGGTGCAGAAAAACAACCCGCCCACTGGCAGGCGACGACAAGAGGAAGCGTGCATTCGGTGCGACAAAAAACCAAGGTTGTAGAACGGCAAACAGTTGTTGTTTCGGGTGAGATCGATTGCGTTCGGTGCCCGAACGATTTCGGTTCGACGGTGTCCAAGGGGGGGACGAATCCACAAACAAAACAAAAAAAACAACACAATGCAAAGCCAAAACCCAACGCAACACAGCCACGCGGCAGGGCGGAACGGGCCTCTGTCTGCCACACCGCGCCGCGCCGCGCCCGTTTCGATCTTACCGCCGGCAATCACAAACACCACCAGGTACAGGGAGGACGCCGTCTGGTACACGGAGGACTCCATCCCCTTGAGCTGGTGCTCCACCTGTTTGGCCTGAATCTCGGCCATCTTTTCGGCCCGGGACTTYTTTTCAAAKCCCTTGTCGGCCATGAGCTTGTGCATCTCCTCCCTCGTTTTCAGGTYGTAGAGCTTGACCTCCTCCAGGGTCGATCCGGTGTCGTCCYTGATGGTCAGGACGGCCTTTTTCCCGCGGATCCAGTTGATGGTGACGCCCGAGTACTGCCGGATCTCTCCGTCGATCCCCCTCTTGGGATCGCCCTTGAGAAAGGCCCGGAGCTCCTTGTGCTTGTTGAGGGTTCACGCGGGGCAGCTGACGACCTCGCCCGTGACGGCCCGGACGGTTGGGAGGAAGAGGCCGACGACGACGACGACGAGGAAGAAGAAGAGGTTCTTTGTGGATCGCATCCTTTCGCTTCTAGTGTTTTGTGTGTGAGAAAGGGAGGACGGGAGACGAGAATCGGATAAGGCCGTGCGTGGTGGCGGGTGCAATGGGCGGCCGGGTGGTCAGTTAGGAATTTAGGGTTGTAAGTATGGGTGTCCTTTGGTGTCTGGTTWTGCGGATCGATTTTTTTGTGAAGAGTTTTCTGTTCCGATGTCCTTTTGTACGGTTTAGTATTGTGCCACWTTGTCATATGGCATCGCTCGAGTCATGGCAGGAGATACAACGGMACCTCGTTTTGTACCGGCATACGTACCGTACGAGTAGTACCGTAACGTAATGCGTGCATTCCATGCGGAATCTGGCAGAGGGGAACGTAAAACGTAAATGTAGTGTACGATATGAAACTACCTACTATGAAGGTATGGTAGTATCGTACGGTCCCGAGTAGCTCGTGGATCGTGGATGATCGTGAACAAGGTACTGTACTTCGAAGTACTCGTACTTGTACGTACCGTACGTGCGTTTGATCTCTTTTCGGCAAGATGGTTGTTGTTGTTGGTTGTTCTTTGTTCTCATTCGGTGATCTCTCGGTGTTGCAAATCGCATCACAATAATCCCTTGCAAGAAAAAAGCAACGGTTTTGGAAGCGAAGCCAAGCCAAGCCACGGCACGGCACACAACCAAAGCAAGCGACACCGACACCGACACCGACACCGACACCGACACCACCAACACGAACTCCAACTCCAACTCCAACTCAACTCCAACTCCAACTCCAACGCCAACTCCAACTCAACTCCAACACCAAAAATGGCATCCACCGAGCCAGAACTCCGGCAGGCACCCGACTCTGCCGCTCCCGGGGAAGAACCCCCGGTGGTGGTGGAAGCCGACGCCGACCTCCTGGAACGGGGGATCTGCCGGGTGGAGCTCCCGCCGGGGCTGGACCCCGAGCGCTGGGCGGCCGAGCTGTCGAGGCCGACCCCCCTGAACTTTGGCTTTGAGGGGGACGGCGAGGCCTTTTTGTACCGGAACATCATGGACGAGCCGGGGTTTCCCTTCGATTTGGTCTTGCTTGGGAGTGGCGGAGACGGAGACGGAGACAGCCTCTCGGAAATCGGGCGGGCGGTCCTCGAGCACTTTCCCGTTCTCCCGAASGGCAGCGGGGACGGAGGAATCCGCGATCCGCGGAAGGTCCTGTCGGAGGAGCTCCGGCTCGACGACGCCTTTTGCGTCCACTACCACGAGGACCAGCACGACACCCGCGGAAAAAAGCACAGGGACCCCAGCGACATTACCGTCAACCTCTGCCTCCACAAATCGGAAAACGCGGAGGGGAGCCTCGTCATGTTCCACGGYGCGAGAACGCTAAGGAACGCGGGCAACAGCGACAGCAACAGCGACAGCGGAAGGGCCCTTGCCGGTGGGGACCGCCACCGCCGCTTCCTGGTGCCCCAGAAGCAGGGGCACGCGACCCTCCACTTTGGGGACCACCCGCACGAAACGACGGCCCTCACCCGCGGGAGCCGGACCAACGTCATCCTCACCTACGTCTACACGGATCCGAGCCGGAGCGACGCGACCACCCGGAYGTGCTACTGAGCAATGCTTTTCGGCGGAACGGACCGTGCCAGAAAGCCAGCATGCTCCCTTGTCTCTCGTCGGGAGAAGAACGACAAAGCTGTGCATCGACTCGAGAAGCTTTTCGGGTGCGAGAAACCCCTGCTTTCCTTTCCAATGGACCTGGGCGGCATCCCTGTCGGCTGCGGGAGAAGAACGACGACGGGACAAGCATTCCTCGCCGCCCTTGCCGACCGATCCGCGCGACGCCAAGGGACATCCCGCGGACCGAACGAGATGCGAAGATGCGGGCTCGCGGTCCGATCCGAGGCAAAACGATGGGTCCGCAAGGGACCGGGGTCGGTGGCACACGGATCGGGCCGATCCATCCGGGGGGGACGACCCATTTGCTGCCAGCGACGACGGACGGGAACTCCCATCCTCGCGCAGCAGCCCAGGGCATTGTTTTTCGTCTCGGCAGAACGAAAGGCTGGAATTCACGAAAGAAATAATTCTTGCATGGGTGTTTGATACATCAGATACTGTAATAATATTATCAATAATAATAATAATATACTATTGGTGTTCGTTTTGTGGGGGAAAGGAATGATTTGTCCGGATGGGTGTTTGTGTTACAGTTTGCACTCAGCGAACTCGGCAGAGAGAAACACCGTTGTGCCAAATTATTCTGGTGGTAAGAAGTCTCGAGTTGATAGCAGTGACAGCATCAATTTTCAAGCGTATGATTTTATATCATAATATAATAGTCATATTCATATTATTCAAGGTGCTGTCGTTATTCATCTAGTTTTAGAGACATTCGCCCGGATCAGAATTTTGCACTGCGCCCGGAAAAACCTAACCCGAAAAAAACCAGCGGTTGTCCCGAAACGTCGTCTGTGTGGCGGCAATGTCGTCGGCCGTGCTGATGGATCCGATCATCCCCACGCGGTAGGTCCGCTGGACCTCGGCCACGGGCGCTTGTCCCCCACCGGTGGTGGCACCTCCTTCTCCTTCTCCTCCTCCCGGTTGCTGCTGCTGTTGTTGCTGTTGCTGCCGCTGACGGTTTTGCTGCTGCAGGACGCGGATCCGCTGCATCAGGCTGCCGATCGAGTGCTGGCTGGCGTCCAGGCTCGCCGCGCCCTGCTGCGGGTCGGCCCGCTCGGGCCGGCCCACCGGTGCGTTGCAGAGGGGGCAGGCGTTCTTGCGCTGGAGCCACCCCTTGAGGCACTCGACGTGGAACTCGTGCCGGCAGGGGAGGTCGCCGATGCGGTCCCCGTCCTCAAAGGGGCAGAAGCAGATGGTGCAGGTGGGGGCCTCCAGCGAGTCGGCGTCGCTGTCGTTCTTGCAGTGGTGGATCTCGTGTGGTGGGTCGCTCTCGCTGCTTCGGGTGCGGCAGAGACAATCGTCTCCGCCGCATTCCGCGGTCTGCCCAAGGTCGTGCTCGTCGTCGTCGTTTTCCGCGCTGGGTCCCAGGGTCAGTGTGATAAATTCCGGCTCGTCGGTGTCGTCGTTATTCCCATTGCTGTTGGTTTCCAATGGCGGCGAATCTGCTTCGGGTTCTGTGGAATTAGTCTCGTTGTCTTTGTCTTTGTCGTTCCTATCATTGTCCTTGTTCCTAGCAAGGTTCGAAGTCTTGACGAGCGACATCACGGCCGGAGTCATTTTAGCAGAGGGCGATGCCGACGATTTGCCGGGTATCATCGCTGCCGCATCCGATTCGCCGACAGAGGCGGTGATGCCCTTCCTGCTATTGTCGCGTGGAGTGGCATTGGTCGCCTCGGTAGCCGTACATACCGAGTGGAGGTGCGGAGAGGCCGCCGCGGTCTTGGTGACGGCCACGGGTGGCACGGTGCTTCCGAGGAATCCTCCGCCGTCGCTTCCCTGGGTCGTGGTAGCCATAGAAAACCGCTTGACTCGGAGCTTTATCTGGGGCGGTGGCAAGCCCTGTTCCCGGCGCTCCATTTCCCTCAAGAATTCTTGGTGCCGCCAGATCCACTGCACCTGGGCCAGCAGCGACCGCTCGAACATCCGCCGCTGGTTGGAATAGAACCAGGGTGTGACGTTCTCTTGGGATCGACCGCGGTTCTCCCGCTCGTCGTCCGCAATCATTCGGTGGAGCATCCTGTCGTTGAAATCATAAGAGATTTCCCAAAAGCAGCAAAGAAACTTTTTGCAAAAATAGCTCACCCGGTCCTGGACATAATCCCCTGCTGTCCGGCCGTGAACAGTGCAGCAACAAATAATTGCCAGCCCAAGATACCATAATAGGATGAGCGGCCAGGCGTTCCTTGCGATGGTGTCCCGCATGTTCTGCTCGTAACATTTGACCGGCATAATCGGATCGGTAGGGATTCCACAATACATAGCTCTCTCATTACACAAGTACAAAGGAAGATCGTCCCATTGTCCCTGCTTACTGTTCGCTCCGGGGGGAACGTATGCGTACTCTCCGTTCGGGTACTGACCGAGGTTGCTGGGATTAATGCCTTGGCCAAACGAACCATAGCTGTTGGGAGACTCCTTGATCAATGCGTCAGACGTTCCGTTGTAATCAGAATCTGGAATTTCAATTTCGTTCAAAAAAGTCCATCGGCTGCTCTCACACAAGCAGGGTTTGACAAAGAATTCGCCTTCCTGCAAGGTATCGTGAAAATAGATTAGATCGTCGGCTTCGTCTGCACTGCTTTCATCATTACCCATCATTTGCAAGAAACGGCGCGGAATCCATCCCATGAGATCGTCGGTGCTGTGGTCTGCGGGCCGGAATCTATCGAGAAATTGATCTGCAAGTGACGCAGGATCCTCGTCAGCAAGTTGTACACGAATCTCTTCTTCGCCTTCATAAGTCATGGTGTTGCTATGAACCACCAAGGCATCAGTTTCCAAATCTCCTAGGTTCCTCCACATCCGATCGGAACGCAAGACTCGTTTGTTTCCGTTGTAGCCTTCTAGCAAGGGCGATCGTGATTGGTCTTCATTCGTCGCAATATGATTATGTGCGATGCTGTGGGATTCGGACGTTGTTTCGTCCTCGGAATTGCTAGCGTACGGCTGGTCGTCCCTGTCAGTGGTGAACCCCGGGTGCATTACTTGAACAATTTTTCCGGTCGATGGATCTATCCGCACCTTGTAGCGCATATGTGTGGGACAGACCTCGGAATACCAAACAGCGTCGGCATTGGGGATTATCTTGGCAAGTAGCAACATTGCCAAAAACAAATTACCACCATTGCTGACACTAGCTGCAATCATCAATAATGATGTTATCATTTTTATCCTTCCCATGACAGCACTAGTGCTCACAGCCTGCGATCCCTTGCTTCGATTGTCGTTTCGTTTGTTGCTGTTGCTGTTGCTCTATTTTCCTTAGATATCCTCACTTTCGTCTCGTCTTTTTATTGCAGTCGCGTTGGTGTGTTCTAATGAATTGTGCTATGGTTGATCTATCCATTCCAATTCAATTCAATCCAATCGCATCGAATGTGTAGCGCCAGACCTGTTAGGAGGTCTTGTAGTCAAATGGTATGATTAGTTTGTGATAGGATGTGCAATAAGCAATAACTGAATTACGTGTAAAGTACGAAAATATTTCTTCAGCACGACGGCAGCATCGCAACGGCTCGTACGCCTATCGTATGTACAGGATCGTATGGTAATGTGGCGATTGATACAGTAATACTGTAAAATTAGCAATGTTGTGCAACATCGAACCATATGGTACGACATGAACAGTACGAGTTGAAAGTAGCTTCGCACTCACCTTCTTACGTACTCGTAATACCTGAAACGTACCGTAAAGTAAATTATCGGATAGAGACTAGACGGAAAGTGGACGTGAAAGAAAAAGCCGCTAAAGTCAGCAGTAAATTCGACCAGAAGTTCATTAGAACATTCATACGAGTGGAAAGAAGAGCTCAACGCATTCGCTGGGGTGGTCTGCACTAGTCCTCGTACAGCACCTAAATGTGCCTAGAAACAGAAATAATCGCGAGATCATGCTTCCGTACGGTAGGAGAACTAGAATAAAGGGAAGATAAGGAACTGAGGAGCACAAATAAAGTTTTGAAGAACATCGCAACTGACGAGAACAACAATTTACAGCAGCCCTCATATGGAAAGAACAGAAGATAATATAAGTGTGAGTCATCTGATACTTCTTTTCGTCAACCCTGAACTTCCAAGTGCCGGAAGAAGAACAGTTTCCGTTAAGCACATCGCAGAGGAAGACTTCTTACATACGGTTCAGGATTGGAAACATCGTTGGTGGCAATACTGTAACGAATAAATCATGTGGATCAACAGTACTACCAGGTACCGTATCATTCCCGTCTCTCTAAATTTTCTTAACCTAGTAGTAATGGGCTGCCAGATAGTAAATTTAGGAAGGTTTGCAAGCAGATCTAAACATAATGATCCATACCAGTCTGCTGGTGGTGCTGCTGCTCCTGGTGGTGTGTTGCTGCTGGCTGCTGGTGGTGGTACTCCTTCTTGTTGTTGTCCTCCTCATCTCAAAAAACAGCTGCCTCTTCCTCGTACTAAGCTTAACCCAGCAGCACTGTACTAGTAGTATCTGAAAAAAATCATCAGTAGTGAGTAATGGCATGAATGCTGCTGATCTTGTTTAATAGTACTGAATGTTTTACTTAAGAATAACAACATCAAGAATGGTGGTGGTTCTTGCGGCATTCTTAGAGAAGAAGGTGGTGGTTCATGTGTTTTTTTGTGACTTGTTGGAAAACTATCTTGAATTACAGTAACGTTTTTCAGCAGGACATGAATCTGAAACAAGGTTTCAAATCTCCTGCTTTAACCCTATCAAAATTGACCACTTCTGGCTGACAAATTTTGACCTAGGATGTGGATTGTTTGAAAATTGACTGTTTCTGGCTGGAGAGCCCCCAATTCTTTTGCATTTTTAAAGGGCAGATTATATATTTGGGGGAACACAAAAAAACAAAGTTAAAAACAAAGTTAATTATTTGAGTCTAAGGGAGTAACAATTACACAGTTACTAATGAATTGTGTCAAAGAGAGTATCAATCATAACCAATTTCATGAAGTTAATTAGTAGCTAGTAACTAATGAAATTTGTAGTACACTGTTTTGAATGTCACTGAAAACACTTATTGATTAGTACTCAAATTAATTGCATGATTAAAGTTACTTCCTTCATCTCAAATCTCTGGCAGTTGCAGTTTTGATGTGGTGTGAAAATCACTCGTGGATGAATTGAATCACTCGTACGATACGAATGAGTGAATCGTACGAGTATTGCGATTAAGGTTAGAGTTAAACTGTATCCCAAGATTGAATCGTATCTTCGTACGGTTCAATGATTAGGGTTAAGGTTAAACTAAGGTTGAATCGTATCTTTGGATCGAATCGTACGATACGGATGAATCGTACGTGATCGCCGAATCGCTTAAGCATCGAAAATACAGCAAACAGCAAGCTGCTGTTTGATCACACTTATTCTTTTTATTAACATCTAAAACACCCTATCATGCCCTCATACCATGATGATCTCTATCTTAGCTAAGTTCCTAGTGTATATTACAGTGTATTCACCTGTTATATCAACACTACACTAACTGCTTATTGCACACGTGATTTTTACATTTTATCTTAGCTAAGTTCCTAGTGTATATTACAGTGTATTCACCTGTTATATCAACACTACACTAACTGCTTATTGCACGTGATTTTTACAGTTTATCAGACCCAACGTCTTTACGATACTACGACTCCGAAGACTCTTCCGAAGACTATCCCGATGCGATACTTTGATGTATGCGGATTCGGAGGCCATTCCGGAATAAAATCAAGAGCTCTAATCCATCTCAGCTGATCACTGGATGGCATCCTATTTCCCTATGATGTAAAGGGGGGCCTTGCAAAGGGACGCAGGAGGCTAATTCATAGTGAATTTAGCAGCGGGTATGCCGGTGGTTACGGCATTCACTACTGTGGTGTAAGGAAATATACTACAGCAACGTGGCTGTAATATTCCAATTATTGGAATAAAAATAACCCGGATCAGCTATCTTGCTATTTCTAGGACCGGCATAGCCATGGCAATGAATCCCCTGTTCCTAGGATAAGTCCATGAGATCCGTACGACAACACCGTAACAACGATGAGGAATCAAAATGATGATGAAATCGTGTATACGGGGAAGACCGGTATTATATGATGAAATAGCATTGATTGATGAAGGAATTGGCTCCATGGTGACCAATATTCCATCAATCAATTATTCCGATGATTTACATGGAAAACAAGCTAATTTGCTATTTACGGCAACGATACGGTATTACGGCATCACTAAAAGAAAGAAAGATCAAAATACCGGATGAAAATTCAAGGACCAGTATTGGATTCATCACATCCATTCATCCCATCGATTATTATCAGCCACCGATTGATCCCTGACATCACGACGCGCATGGAGCATGTGACGTGATCTATTTTTAAGAATATTCACGGCCATCCAAAAGCATTCTATTTTGGTCCATGATTTATTTTTGGCTCATGTGGCGCATCGATAACCACTGATTTACCAGGAGCTCATGTGGTGCAACAAGGTCCACTCATTCAAGTTCTTTTACTGGTTACTATTTTATTTGGAGCTTTGATGCATTTTACTTGCATATTTCACTCCGACGACGATATTTCAAGTTTTCCGGAGAACTGATTCTATAACTCACAAAACCAAACACAGACTGTCTCAAATCACACAACCGCAAATATCATGACAAGGACACGATCTACCGTATCCCTTACCCAGGGATCAACATTGTATGAGACTTACAAGGAAATTGGTGTTCGCGGAAACCGTCGGAAGAAGCGTTCCAAGAATAAAAACAAAAAGAGTTCTGGCAACAATGAAACTGGCCGTGGTACCGACAGTTCTGATGATGAACCTGATGTAAATGAAAGACTTATGGCATTACTGGAAAAGCTCGATGGAAAGATTCAATGAGTTAATGAAAGATTCAATCAGTTGGAACAAGCTCGATCGGATGAGGACCAAGGTAATGTTCGCGTCTGTGGTGGTGGTGATGGTGGTGATGATGGTGATGATGATGATGGTGGTGATGGTGGTGGTGATGGCGATGACTCAGATGATCCTTTTGACCCGGATGGGGATGATCCGGAAGATGATGGGGATGATCCGGAAGATGAATACGACCCGGATGACTACCCTGATGCCGATAGTCTCCTAGATAATCATGGTGTTGACCACAGGGAAGCAATAGAAGGTTATGAAAATGGACGCGAGCTCACGGTAGCTGAGGCTAATTTTCGAAAAGTCCTATTGAGCTTGAAGATCTCCTGGGAGGCRGTGAACTCTCTTTTTACTGAGGGATGGTCCTCAATGGAAGCCATCCAGGGTCGCAGTCCTGAACACCTCAACAATTTCTATACCACATTCAACAGGACCCATAAGAGGTCTCGTTTGACAGAGGTTGGGTCCCACAACATCACGTTACTGATTGATTGGATTAAGTTTTGTATCAAGCTTGGGAGACGTGTCCGTACGATGGACTGGCTACAGAGTCCAAACCCTCTCCGTCACACTCTTAATCGAATTTTTTATGAACGGCAACGGAAGGAGGTTAGTAAAACAGGACAGACGCCCAAGCCCCCGCCTCTCCTGAAACTCACGTCTATTCAAGATGAGTTCCCTAAGTTTGATCGGGCATTACGGGCTTATTTTGGTGCCGTTCGGGGCGCAACCGAAGCCCCGCTGTTATATGTCCTACGAGATCAATCATTAGTTCCTGACGCCCATATCAATGGTGATGTTGGACCTGGTGGTACATTTGAAACTTGGGATGACTATCTTATTGCATGTACACCACACAAGGGTACTGATTATCTGATAGATAATAACACTGTGTACAATACACTTGAGAGCTTGCTTAATGTCAAGAAGGGTGACGCGGCTGACTCTGAAATCTCACGATTCCATAAAGATACCAAGTCAAATGGTAGAGGTGCATATTTTCACCTCAGGACCATGGGAAATGTTGAGTCTCATCGACAGAAGATGCTTAAAGAGACCAGGACATTTATGGAATCCAGTCCACCCTACACTGGTGACTCCCGAAAGTATACCTTCGAAACTCATAAGAGGAAATGGTACGAATGTCGGGACAAGATCCAATATTATGGTGGGAACATTGATGAAGAGGCCTTCTGTTATGATTTCTGTAACACTATCCAAGATCCCCGCCTTATCGAGACTTCAAATCGCATTAGGGCTCCTGCCCATCCAGATCACAACAATTTTATCAAGATCACTGAGCACTTGACCGCTGCAATGTGTAACCAAGGCACACGCCGCACCATCAGCTCCACCGCCACTGAAACTCCTAACCATAATGGCAATGGCAGTGGTAAGCGCCGAAGACTCAATTCTAATCGCGGTCGTGGTAACTCTGGTGGTCGTGGTGGTGGCAACTCTGGTGGCTCAACTTCAAGTGGCTCAACTTCAAGTGGCTCAACTTCAAGTGGGACATTT